TATAAATGTAGTGGTCCATACATATTCGATATATACATTAAGATTCATCAAGATATCTTCAAGTCTGAGAGTCTCTCAGTGAGAGACTAGTTTGAATAGAAACAGGCAAATGGACATAGCTATAGCGATTCGATTAGTCGTCCATATTAAGAATTTATATAGATTATGATGGCAAATATGGTAACACATTAATTTCTTTGTAACTGCTTAAAAAATGTCTATGAGTCCTATTACCTAGACGATAGCAATTACTATCTTGGATGTCGTGCTTAATATAAATTTTCATGATTTTCACTTTGCACCGTGCCCGAAACTCCTGGAAAATATACAAAAATTCGGAATATAGAAACAGTTTATTTATTTAATGTCGGCTCAGAGAAAAATTGAACATTAATAAAATAAAATGTAATGTTTGAATTAAAAAAATATGTATATATATTTCTACGGGTATTTAAATTGGGGAAAGCCCAGTCAGACTGAAGAGTTGTCAGCGTATAGTTAGAAAAGTTGTCATAATTCGTTGATTTCAGCTACGCCGAACAGTTTCAGTTGCCTTATCGTTGTTCTTAAGATGATAGTATTTTCGTATAATTCGTCATTACACGCCAACTAATTTAAGTGAAACAAATTTTGCCATTCCAAAAGTTAATAAAGGTATTGAAAGCACCAATTGTAAAAATCGTGAGTCGCAACACGCTAGCAAATTCTTTCTTTGTATATGCAGATGTGTATGTATTTAAGCACATGCACCTACGACTGTTCATTGAAAAGTATGAAATTATGTACATATGCACAGGAACTCGTGGTTGCAATTGTACACACATATAAGTATATACATAAGTACACACATACGTACTTGTATGTGTCTTACTTGTCCCTGTGACTCTACCACAGAGCTCAGAGCACAGAGCAGGCAGCAGTAAATAGCGAGGCACGAAACGGGTGCTCAGGTGCATTATCCAATTGCAGCGCTGCCGCACCGTATTCGACCCTCCTCCTCTTAGGCGGCTTCATTGCAACGGCACGATTTATGACTACGGTTGCTCATTTGTGGCCGCGGCAGGCGAACGATCGATGATCAAGCCGCCATTTTTTGTTACGATTTGGACTCGCGATACCAGATGCCCTGCTCGCTTTACAAAACAATATTGATTTTCAGTCTTTGCTGCCGAACCGCAGAAATCGTGATGCACAGCACACTGGTCCGACGTCCACAGTCACTTTCCTTTGTCCATTACATATACACTTGTATGTATTTAAAAAAAAAATATATACATATATATATATATATATATATATATATATCGAATCGATTATGTATAGATGTCTAACCATTTTGTACATATGGAAATCAATATATATTTATCCATATATTTATCAATGTATATGCATTGTATGTACTTATGCATTTTTTTGTTGCTGTTGGCTGTGTTCTGATGTTAAACTGACAGCTAGTTGAAAATGGCAGCCTTCCATGGACACGGAACACATGGGCTAGAGCTGAGATTTGTACCAGTGTGCGGCCTGGCAGCTCCGTCTATTGAGCCTGAGCACCCAATTTAGGATGAGGCTAAAATACAGGGCCCCGGGTCCAACTCGTGAACGCCGCAGGATGTTCATGACTGCTGTTGTGGCTGCTGTCGTTCGTGGTAGTGATTGTAAATGCTCCTTTATCTGCTCGCGGTGCGGCACAAATGCGCGTAACTTTAATACAAATACATACATACATCCGTAAATACATATGTATACACATGTAGTCATGCAAGCTCATGTCTCCTATAATTATTTCTTTGCTGTGCGAACATTAAAGTAGGTTAAAGGCTTCTGCCAAACATGCAATGAAATACTTCAATTTCCGAAACATAAATATCGCTTAGCAATTCAAAGAAATAAATGAAATTTACTTCATTACAATTCCATAAAGTGCACACATTATTGGTAAGTGGCTCTCTTCGGTAATTTTATTAATATACTCTGTTGGGTCGACTGTATTTCTACTAATCTGAAACCAGATCTAATGGAAATAGTTGTTGGAATATAGTTTTTATGTACATTTGTTCAAAATAATTTGTAAAACAAAACAGTATTTCAAATAATAGTTTGTCCTCGTATTTCGTCGTATTGATCAAGCATTTATAAGTTAATATTAATGCATGAATATTTACATATTCAAGTAGTTCAACTATTTAAATCTATTTAAATCCTATATGACATCTTCTTTCCCCTGCTGGTAAAATTGTTCGGCCAACTTGCTGAATTACTAACTAGAAGTTGCGTTATCTTAACGATTATTACCTTAAAGTTTATTCAGGATTTATTTATTTCCCAGCTAAAAATGCACGACTAAATATTTGAATACCTAAGATTATATATTACAGGATGTCTAGCATAGCGCAGCTGAATACAATTAGATGTTCAAAAGTTACATAAAATTCTACTTAACGTGAACACACAAATTTACAAACAACAATATTTAAAAAAAAACATCTTTACAAAATTAATAGTGTCCAGTTACTCAAAATAAAGACGGAAATTTCGATTGCATGTCGAATTTATTTACGATACTTTTTAAATCATTTTTTTGCTGTTCAATTTCTTTAGTTTGGTTTTTATCATTTTTTGTATTTTTGTATATTCTTTTTGTAATAAATTTAAAATTCTCTTAAAACGACAAGTTCAAAATGTACATTTTCGTGAATTACTAAGTTGGCCAAAAGTGTGTTAATATATATATATATATATAATAACATAAATTCTATATATTCTCGATCACCTTCCGATATCAGTACGAAATGTAAGTTTTCGCATATCATGGGCAGACCATGTTTATTTAACTTTCTCCAATTATTATAGTAAAAGACAATTCATTTACTAGCTCAAGTAACCTTTATATAGAGTAAGTTTTGAATTCACTAATACTTAACTGATAAAATCGTTCTTCAAAAATTATTCAATTACGTGACTTAAATATTTTGAATTTACATATAAAGATTGGATATTTTCGTGTTCATATAAATATATACATATATGAACAGAGACAAATGTCTTATTTAAAGTAATAAGCCATAGTTGTCTCTAAAGTTTTAAAAAAAACATTCGTAGAGTGTGTTATTAGCGGATCGAATCAATAATTCAAAAGTCAAGTTTTCTCGAAAATCCTTGTAATTTAAAGAGGTAACACTTAAAATAACTATTTAAGTTCAGGATTGCTTACTAGGCATTTATTAATGTATCTTCTGTAGAAAAAGTTTAGTTCAAGGGTATTTTGTCTTCGGTGCCCCAGTCAACTTTAAGTATCTACATCTAAATGTGTAAGTACATACACATACACACACACACACACACATTTTGTATTATATTATACATTGAATATTACACATTTGTATATGTACACACAAGCATACATACATTTGTACATAGTTCCCCACTCTCATCATTTTTAATATAATCACTCTGTGATGCTGTGCAAAATAAACCCTGGGGCAAAAATGGTAGGGCACTAACCACTGGCAAAACAAGCGTCCAATGCCGAGTTTTTCCCAGTAGCATAAGTTACACCCCTGAGGACAAAGTGTGTTGGCAACCCCAGCTTTCCATAAATACATACATATCTGCGTATGAGTGTGTGTGTGTGTATGTATTTGGCAACCACTACGCTTATATACTCATTTACTGATACAATACACAAAACACACACACTCACACACACACACACAGAGAGAGTTAAGCCCATGCGTTTATATACACATATCCACTTAAACACATGTCTTCATACATATGTATTGATGTTTGTGCATGTATGTGTTTGTATCTACGAGTATGTAGTATGTAGTATTTATGTGCACATGTGCAGAGGCTGCGCTGCCGACGCAACGGCGATGCCGCTGACGCAGCCTCTGGGTTCGGCCCATTGTCTAGTAGTCAGCTTGAGGGGCGTGGTTTCTGAAAATATAAATGGCTGTAGCTGTAGCTGATGCTGTTGCGCGTTTTAACTTGAACACGACGGGGCCAGCAAACAGTCACGAACAAATTCATACATACATATCCTAAGTGGTATTGGTGGCGGTAAAGATTTTTACAGCCGGCCCTCTCTTATGTACTTTTGGTCGCTCTTCGCTACAGCAGCTCCAGTTTCGAATTCTCTTAGAGAATGACTTAAATTACAAGTCCACCAGACAATTTTTAACATTTTAAAAAATGAATATTATTTTCGATATAACATACAGCTACGAATACAACAGAAGCATAGGTAACAAAACTAATTTTAGCATTATTTGTTTATGTTTGATAACGTATATATTGAATAATATACAAATACATATTCATAATGACTCTTCATTTTATGACCCATTTAAGAAATCTTATAATCATCTTTTTAAGCTTATCTTATTCGTAATACTGATTTAAAATAAGAATATGATCTTATTTGAAAGTTACGGTCATTTAAAAATAGTTTCGATTAAGTTTTGGGTTTCTGGTTCAAACAACCATTCTGTTTTACACGACGGAAAAATCCAAGGCGAATCAGCTTTCAGGGGTTTGGTTCTCAACCGGTTTGCAGCATGCACATTTCTCTTCTGTCCGCACAACACTCTCTTAGTCTTCTCTCTTGTATAAGAGAGTGTGAATAGCGTTTTGAAAAACCCGCTCCGGGGAGGGTCAGCGCCTTAATGTGTATGTGTATGTGTGTATAACGAAAAGTGTGCGTTTCACAAAGCGGTGATGGGGATTTTATAGGTTTTTACGCACATATACTTGTAGGTGTGTGTTATGTGTATGCTCAGTCTTTGTGTGTGTGTGTGTGTGTTTGTGTATATGGGTGTGTATGTATGTATGAAACACATCTGTATTCAAACAGCAGCAGCATCGTCAGCATCGCCATACATCCCCTGAAGGTTTTTACGTCCAACCAGAAAATTTAGTTCAGTCGAGAACTACCGTCAGTGGCTGCGCAAAGGCAGAAGTTTATTTGCGGGTTTTCGTTAAATCAACTGTATATTATGCTGTATTTTCGAAATTTCTTACGATTCCAAACAGCTCGAGTTTAATTACGTGTTTTGTGATTTTAAGCATCCAGCATTAAGTGCCACTCTCGTATACTCCGTGCACCTGTAATTGCCATCACTTCTATTTCGGATAAGTGATACATTCGGATGGATACATACACATTTCATAGTTGTATAATATATTCACTTACTACCAATTTACATTTATATAAGCATATACTCATATGACTTATAGTTGCCTTAATCAGTGCCAAAAAAATAATCTATCTACTGTGCATTTGTACCTGTTATGCATTTTAAGTGAACGAAGCGTTCGAGTTAGTGACAGTGAAATCCTTACCGCCCAACGATCGAAGAATTGCTATTTAATCAACGCACTCTATGTAATCAATACTACGAATCCAACAATCCAACACCAACAAAAATGCATATCTTACACCGGACCAATGACCATCAATTTGAGGATCAAAAATTTATGATGGTAAGATTATTGAATTTTACGAAATTTTAGTAAACACATTTGCCATCACAATCCGTATCGGTATCCGTATACGGTAAACGCACTTGTGTCAACTAGCTATCAATTCGTGAGACCTGGATGGGAATCTAGGCAACGTACACACTGGCCAATTATCTGTCAGCCAGTATCAGGTTCATGGTTTCTGTACGAAATACGCAAAATTTGAAATTGCACAACAAGAGCCAATAGGGTTGTGTGATCTCTGATTGACATAAGAATTTCGTGCACGCAAGCATTCAGTGTAATTACCATACAACTTCAAGTGAACCATGTCTGTGATCTGAGCAGATTGATTACCATACATTTTAGCAGATCAGCCAAAGCCCACTTTATAATAATAATGAGGCGCACTTAGGGCTGGAATTTTGTGTTCCCCACAAGACAGGGCAGTCTTTTAGTAGTATCAGAAAACTTTTGTATGAAAACTTTTGTATTTATTCTTAAAGTCCAATGCCAGATTTTAATGGAAAGGTGTTTCACATTCATCGGACAATCCACTTCACCGATTGGATTCAAACTAATTTTTAAGGTTCGTTATAAAAAAGTCCGCCGCAAAATGTCATACTTGAGATAAAACATTGCAGAGTAAGATGGGATCGGGACAAGTCGTGTACAAATAATAGTTTTTTTTTTTAATGATGGTATTACTTTTTAAATTCGCTGAGCCATGATGACCAAACATTAACTTATATATAATGTTTAAAAAGTTGTGATATAAATAATCTTTATATACTAAATCTGATATATCTAATCTAAATCGATCTATTTTAATTCTATATTATTCCCATTCGAAAATACATTGGATACTTAAATTTCTAGTAGGATTGGGATGAACGTGAACATATAATTTCGAGACGGGCCGAACAATTTCTTTTCCGTTTATACAATAAAATGAAATGTTGCGTAGTTAAGTACATGTAAATTTACGACGTCACGAACTGACTGTAATTAATATGAATTCTTCATTTAATTTGTTGTGAAACCGATTATTATTATGTATATTTTATCAATTTCTGTGCATGGTTAAAAGAATAAAAAAATGTTCGCATATTTTAATATCACATTTAATGCATAATTTTTAAAAATAGCTTTTCTAATATAAAATATAAATATATAAAAAAAATTATTATTTGAATAATCAATAGATTATAGATTATACATTATGACTATCTGTTTGTCAGATGGGGACCAGTAATGAATGACATAAATTCATTGGTACGTAACTTACAATTTAAGTTAATAATGCAAGACATCTCGGCCACTATTACTTGATTAACAAAGTCTACCAAGAAAATACGCAATGTCAGGCTAGCTGACTATCCGTCTATTCACTTGCAAGTATGTGTGCAACGTTTTCAACAAATATATACTTGTACCCAGTGCGCTGGAGCCTCGACATATTTCGGATACTTTATGTGTCACAATTTCGAGTGAAGATTTCTAAACCCCTCTGAAGATTGATTCAAAATTGACCGCCAACATTTTAACGGTAAATTACTGGTGACAGTCATCCAAGATAACATTCGTTTGATAACAATTTTCAAATGTTGAACGGCTCTTTTCCAACGGTTTTCAGCTATTATTATATTATAAATTGAATTTACTGGTTACAGTAGATATCGTAATTTGATTATTTGTGATCGTATTTGAGGTTAGTTAAGCTCTAAGAGCAATCCCAAACCACCATATCACGAGGGAGTCAGTGAGGCCGATTTGTTTTGTTGCCAAGCCTTTCTTTGAATTACAAATATTATTTGCCCGTGCAAACTCATTCTAATACTTTTATGAATTAAGAATTGCATGAGAACCTATATATTGCTAAAAAAAAATGTACATATTTAGCTTTTTCCAATGTTTCGATGATGCAATTTAGAGACATTAAGAAATTTCTCATTGTGTGTCCAAGTCATATGTTCTTTGCCTACTTTTTCTGTGATAATATATCCTAAATAAATATTAAAGAATTTATTTATCTTCTTGCTAAAGTGTGTTTTTCTTCGGAGTATGATCGAATGCATTTACGTAGAGTTTTTCAGCTACCCTTGGGCAAATTTGATACGCATGCTTGTACATAAGCGAGAGAAATCAACATTAATATAGTATGCCACGTTTACTTTTGCCTCCTCTAATCAGAAAAAATATTCATGTTCCCCATAATTTGAATGCTGTAGTTACTACGTTTCATTTAATGGGGAAATGAAAATAGGGTATCTAAGCATACCGAGCTTCTGTCTGCAACGTTCTTAAGTTGATAGTATGACATGGAGCAGAAACATTTTATTCGTGCGTCTGGAGCTCTTGCATTGGCTACATTTATCCACCCCCGTTCAATTAGTAAAATTATATGGTTTATCGGCATTCCAAGAACTTTTTGATCCCAGCTAAAAAATATAGGGTAAAATGACGGGGCAAGGGCCAAAGATCAAAACAAAAACACAACAAAGAGGCTGTGCAAAAGTCATCGCCCACAAAAATCATTTTGGCATAGCCGTTGAAATGGGTATGCCGAATGTGTTAGCGTTATCTGCCTTAGTTAGTCTTTCTGCAGACTGGCTGCGCTAAATCAGGTATAAGTTTCTCGCGTGATGCGTTGCCAAAATAATTTATGAGATTGAAGCACAACAAAACTCAACGTAGCGCCCAATTTGCGTGCGGTTTTATATTTGCAAAACTGCAGCATACTGATAAAAAGTGCTGGCATTTTAGGTTTCGTTCCCATAACAGTTTGCTTTGCTAGGTACTTAATTGCATATGTATGCATATATATATAATATATATATATATATATATATATATATACATACACATGAACATTTACCAACTTCATCATAGCACGCCCAAACAACTATTAACCAATAGCTGTGGCGATTCTGCGGTGAGTTTCTTGAATACCAGAGATCTTTGTTACGAATTTCTAATATTTGCTCTTCAATTCTTAATATACTACCCCAAATAATGTAATATACCAACCACAAAAAGTGAAATGTTCAAAATTATGCATATGTAATAGAAAGAAAAAGATGTCATTATATCGTGTATATTTAGAATTAACAGTCGATTTGGTCTAGACCGCCGAACATTGAGATAAATTTGATTTGTTTAATCAAATTCCTTGAATTAACAATAAAAGTTCACATTCTAAAATTATCCTTCGGTTGACATTAATTGTTTAAGCGAAACTTAGTTGACCTGCCAAACATTTTTTTGCATATTTCAAATACACAATAAAATAGACCATAATTAGACTATAAGAGATTTAAATTTAAATAAAAAGTTCAATGAATAAATTAAATTCATTAAAGTAAATATTAATGTCTTTAAATTAAAATGAATGGTTAAATTAAAATTAAAAATATAAGAAAAAAATTAAATATAAAATATTAATTTAGGATAGGCTACTCAATTTGATTATAAATAAAAAGGAAAACTAACTATGATAAAGTACTCAAATTTTCATACTTTTTACTGAATACAACATTCGTTAAAGTTTGATATCTTTATAAGCAATAAAGGTTTTTATTCAATAAATAATTTTTAGACGGCTATTCCAGACGACTCCCTTGGAGCCGTATGATTAAAGTTGTATCTCGATAGTTTATAAAATGGGAGAATGACGCAAAAGCATATATTTTATTTGCACTCTGTTAACTACAAAATTAGATTAAAGACTTAAAGTATTACTCAAGACTTATAAAATTGTTATATTAATATATAAGAAAGGTTTAGATCTGTGTTAAAAAAAATGTGGGACTTTTATACCAGTATCGATTTCATGATTTTTTCAGATTTTCTAAACATACGTATTCTGAATAAATCAGGTTTCTGTGAAATCATTTACATATGTCAAATTGTTTTCCATATTTAAAATTTAAAGCCTTTTGAAATTGTAATTCTCAATTGGCAACACTTTAATAGAAAATTAGTTCCCAAGATCTCGTCAATAGCTCCACCAAATTTTGCAAAAATCTGTCTGAATTTGGAAAGTCATTAAAATAATTTTGACTTCTATTTTAAGCAAACACTCAAAATGATTGTACGTTTTCTCTTGTGACTTCCATTTTGATTTAAAACAATTCTTAAATATATTTTTTGCTAGACTGTCTATGTTAATATCTATAAAGTGTTGTGGTTATATCTTTTGATTGTAATTTTAACTGTATTCATTAGTTCATTTTACATATGTAGATATCCATTGCGAACAGTTTAGAAATAAGTTAATTACAAAATATACTATAAATTAATGGATAATCTATTACAAGTAGGTAGCAAGTTTTATTCTAGATGACTGCTTAACTGTGTATTTAACTGTGTAAAATGCAAAACTAATAACACAAATAAATTAAATTTGATGCAGATAAGACTGTGTTGTCCGATATGCTGACACACATTAAATAAATACATACCACAATAGTATCCAAAAGAACGATTAGATATCATTGTGGATATGTAAGTGCTCCTTTCAAGCATCGCATCAAAATTGATTTCATTTGCAAAGAGGAAATTAAAAAGTCCACTCAAAATGAAATTGAAATGCAAGATAAATGTAAATTTTCGCAACGAGGACGCGAACTCCGGACGATAGCAAGTGTCGAAACTGCGGCGTGTGTTAGGCTCGTGGCAAAGAAGAAATCGGCCTGTTTTGGAATACGCCAGACCCAACCAAGGAGACTAACCAAGGAGAACCGAGTGCAGCTTTGCACTGGCGACTGAATGCAGATCGCAGTTATTTTTTTTACTTAAGCCGGTCTTGTCTGTTGTCTGCTGTCTGCCCAAGTCTACCTGGATGACTGGCTGACTGTGGTTGCCTTGCAAATAAATTCTTATTCTGCTATTCGTCATAAACCTGCTAGAGCACAAGCCACAGTCCACAGTCCACGGTCCACAGTCCATGCCCATGTCTCGTCTCTCTCTCCATTTTCACTTGATCCAGCGTTGTGCGTCGAGCGTTGAGCGTTGAGCGT